GCCCCGCATGGTGACTGCGATTTGCTCTATTCGGCTATGCTTGAGGTAATTAGTTGCCTCAGCCGGAAAAACGTGATTCTGGAGCGTTTATCTCTCCCAGGATGTGTCATAACTGCTTTTGCACAAACTGGTGCGCTTCGCGCTTCTTCCCGCTTTTTCGAGGTCAGCCTCCTCTTCAAAGGCCACGCACGTCGTTCCCTCACGTCTCCGGTTACATCCTTCAGCTGCCCAGTCCTTTCCCTTTCCCTGTGCCATACCCCCGGAAAGGAGAACACATTCCGTGGTGGCACCTGCTGTCCAAGCATGTCCAAGTCAAATCTCTTTTAGTTGCTCTATGTCGAGTCTATGTCTGGACCTGAATATTTGAATCAGCTTTCTGAGCGTCTCGCCGCGGACCCAGCGACTGAGTCATAGAGCGGCACTTCCCTGGGATGCGAGTTCGGCAAGCGTTTACGTGCATGCTTCTAGCTTGAAGAGTGACTGCAAGTACAGCCCTTCGCACCAAGATGAACAACCTGTCGAAGCAAGCGTCTTCAAGAGGCGGAACAACACGGGCAGCTGTCCACACCTGATCAGAATCCATCAGCAGGGCCCTTCGGATTACTTCAGATGGAGCTTGACAATATGAACTGCACTGCTTCTGCCAACTCTGCGACTGCTGTGGCCAAAGGCCGGCGCTCCACGGCACCAGAGGCCTGCTCGTATTCGGCCTGAGCCGGGCCTGAAAGACACAGATGCCACAGCAAGCAACGGCTTGAAGCTTCACAACTGTGGTTCTTCGCCGCTGAGTCGGAAACTGCAGTAGTCCGAGCGCCGCCAGTAGTGATCACAGAATCCACGGCCATCAACACCTGAAAATCCAGCTGCCTGCCTTCTGACATGAATCTACAGCGTAACGCTGTTGCCAGCACAACCATGAAACCCAGACAAGCAGTCTCGGACTCGGATTTACATCCAAAATCCCTGGACCCAGAAGCCCTGGACCCTGAACGCCCCAACCCAAGTAAGCCCATCGCCTTGTATGAGGTGGCTTGTCCGTGTCTAGTGGCTTTATCTAGATCAGAAATGAGGTTTTGCAGAAATGAGGTTTTGGGCACTGAGAATTAGGCCATGGGGATTCGAGGAAGTTGTAGGGTTTGCAGGCTTACGGTTTACCGGCTTGATTGTTGTACTTAGCGTGCAAGGACGCTTAGGGGTTGAGCTGTCGAGCTTTCAGAATTCGAGTCTAAGGGTTCAGGGTGTGGGGGTTTAGGGTTGAATGGCTTGGGATTTGGGCTAGAAATGAGGATTTCAGGTTCGGGACAGTAGCTCTCTGGATTGGGGTTCACGCTTTGTGGGGCTGGTCTTCGGATTGGGATGTAGGCTTTTGGGGCTATGGATTAGCAATCTCTGGCTTAGGGCGCATGAGGGTTCTTGATCGGAAAGCACTGAACCCAATGAAAATCCCTGCCATCAATCTAAGAATGCTGGGACCCAATCTGCAATGAACAAAAGCCCCTCAAAATGTAAACGCCTTCGACCCTAACACCTCGACCTTGCAACGCGGAATCGATCTTGGAAAGACAACAAACAATGTGCAATTTCGCGACCCCGAAAAGGGTTCATCGCCTACAGTATATCATAGTATATCCCTCACGCAGCCCTGAAAGCTTAGGGTCCAGGGTCCAAAGCCCAGCCCGACAGGTCCGTATAGGCTAGAGATCAAACGGTTTGGGGCTTAGGCTCTAGATCGATTCTGAACGCTCCATGCTTATGCTAATGCCATGATGCCAGCTAAAGAAGCTGCCCAAACTCCCTGCAGGAAAGGCCCGTACAGTTTGCAGAGTCGGGGTCTGATGGTATCAGAGTGCCCCTTGGCTGATGCTTCCACTTTGCCCCCTCAGAGGAGCTACGCACACAGCACAGATGAAACTGCCCAGCAAAAGGCCAGGCGGCTCTGCATACGGCTGCTTCCCATAAAACCTGAGCTGAGCGATGCTACGAGCAGATCTGCGCATTTCTTATCCATTGCAGAAGGCTGATCCTGCCAGGATGCTGTGTGTTCTCAACCTTCCAGCTGCAGCCCTTCCGCTTGGTCCTTGACGGGAAAAAGATGTATTTCATCTTCCCAAATCATGGCATGGCCAGCAGCGGGCTCTGAGGCCAGAACGTGCAAATTGGGGTCAAATGGACGGAGAAATTGAGCATGGCCAAATACTCGTACAGAGCCCCAAGCGTTCCCAGTACCTGCTGCTACATCTGCTACAATGTTCTACTGGATTTCAAGCTTGTTTGGGTAGGCGGTTCCTTGCAGCTACGACAGCTTGCAAATTCTGGCCAGAAGTACAGCTTCCCCTTTGCCAGCAAAGCGGCTCCAAGAAGCGCTGCTGTCCTCAGCGATGCGTTGCTCGGCTGTGGAAACCGCATTCATCAAGTTGAGAATGCAACATATCAGCATTGCGGCTGTGTAATGACAAAGCCTCGCTGCTGCTGAGATTCCGATGCCCCAGCAGAGACTGAGGTCCACCACCACGCGCCTAGCCATGCAGGTTGTTGGACAACTGTTGGACATTGCCATGAAGCACACGTGAAACCAGTCAGCATACATGAACATTTGGCTTCGCAACAGCAGGCCAAACCTGCTCCTCGGCTGCCCGGGACTTCTCTTGGAGAATGGATGCCGAATCGCCTTCTTCGTATCTTACACCAGCAATGGACGTTACTACTCATAAGTTGATAATTCAGCAGAGAATGGCCTGCCATCGCAACAGGTAATGCCGCTGCTGGGGCGACGCAATTCGCATTTGGCGCGGTTGGCGGCAGGCCGGTGGTCAAACCTGAGAGATGGCTTTCCCCAATACTTGTAGCTGATTGTCTCAATGCAGCCGTGCGACTGACTTCATCCTTAGTTGCCAAAGGAAAGTGATTAGACTGACGTCGGAGGCCCAGCAAGCCTAGACCCGCCACTCTGCATGTTTACTGTTCATATGGACACGCGAATGTTTAATGCGTAGCCACAACATCCGCAGAGCTATACGTCGCCCGGTCCAAATTCACAACTCCCTGATTGAGTGCTGTCGGCATCAACAGGCCCTCAGAGCTTCGTAGCTAGGTTAGCGTTATGTAGCGATATGCAAGTAAATATGTCAGGGGATCTGGGACTCGAACCATCTGGACTAGGCTGAGGATTCATCTAACCTTACAATCGCACATTAGGACGCCCCGATCGAGAGCAATGTCAAAGAATGCATGGCCGCCATCATCCAGCAAAGATGTACCCCAGCAAGACCTGTATGCGCCATAAATGCAGGTGTAGTATGATGTACTCAGACCAGACACAATATGTATGACGAGATGATGTCAAGCTTCGGGATAGTACTTTGTGAACGCCAGTTTCAGCTCTCCTCGCTTGCGTCGGCCGCAGAAACCTCCATAGTCCTGCCCCCAGCTCTTCTCTCGCATTGCAGGATCTTTTTCAGATTGTATCAGGAACTACACGATGATGCTGGGGTCGCGGGGCTGATCTCTCTGAGTCTCATCTGTTCAGCAACTCAGCAAGAAGAGTATCAGATTCGCTGGGGTCCTCTCTGGCATAGACTGCCGCGCACAGATCGCTCACCTTGGGCTCAGAGGGCGTGTTTTTTCCTGCCGCACTTGGAAATGCTGCGGCCCAGCTGGCATGGCATACAATGGCCACATTGCGGCCGTGCGTCTGCGAAATGCTGACGATATGAGGACCCACAATCAGTGCCTGCGTGTTGTTGCAGCAAGCGGCGTGGGGCAGGGAACCCATGCGGCACAGATGCACAGTGTAGCTGGTCAATCCGGTCCTATGGCCAACAAACTCAGGATGAGACGTGGCCGATGCGAGTACAGGTACAGGACGAATAGAAGAGCTGCAATGAAGAGCGTCACCCAACCTGACAGCTTGTAGTCTGCTACTTCACGCGGACTCACACACCAGCATAAATCCTGCGTTTGCGGGGGCAGCTCAGTGCAATCGCGGCGCATGCCCTCTTGTAGTTCACCTGGTCCATCCTTTGTGTCCAGCCGACTTGCCATGCTTAGCCTCCTTCATGATACGAAATGATGCAATGGGTTTCTTTCTGTCCGGGGGGCAAGGAGAACATTTCCATTCCAGAGCCTCGTCGGCAAGCGCGCGCCAGCACATACTGGACACGGGCTCATAGGCTTTCTACCGCAGAAACAGGAGCATTAGATGGCAATCGCCGCACATTTTGGGACCTTGTTGTCTGCATCGCATCGCGCCTTGTGCAACACCTATCAACGTGATGGCGAGAGCCAAGATGAAGAACAGGAGCAGAGCTTGGAAAAGGAAGCCTCCCACACCTTGAACGATTCAGACCACAAGACCGGGTGCAGGCCAACAGATGAGGGCCGCCTACATATTTCACAGCCCAGGTTGGTCGGCCTAGCAGCCTTTGGTTCTCACCGTCAGCCCTCTCTCTAAGCCAAGTCTCTGTTCGGATCTGCTTGCCTGAGCTTGGCCCAAGTCAAGGGCCTGAATCGACAAGCACATGAGAATTCCAAGCCGCTGCTTCTTGCCGTACCTTGGTCCACCAGCTTTGGGCTCTTACCAGTATACTTGCTCAACCACTACAGAGAATTCTGGAAGCCAGCCCTAAGCATGCAAAGTACACACTAAGCCTCTAGGCCATGCCCTCTAAGCCGCATGGTTGCTCTTGAGATCACCTTTCCTCACAATGCCGCCTGGGCTCGTGATGAGGCGGCCTTTCCTCGTAAGAAGAAGAACACCTGCAAATCTGCTCCGCTTGTTCCCTGCACTGGCTGCCACCACTAAGGAATTCAACCCGTCGGCCGTTCTGGCAACATTCTGGCATGGCTGCGCGAGTCCCAATGACAAACAGCAAGCAGCGAGTCAGCCTGTGTCGTCCGGTGGCCCTCAGCTGTGACAGAGCTGCTGGTAGAACCAGACCGTCTTGACTTTGGGGCTTTGCGGAGAGCATAGTGGCAGAGAAAATAGTGCCAACCAAGCCCGACTAACCCAAGATTGCATTTGACAAGCAAAAGCCACCTATCATCTGCAGCGAGGCGCGCAAGAACACCCAGACTCCGCAAGTCAGTATTGCATACACCCACTTTTTCCACAAAGGGACCTCAGTATACACGTGCAACCAGTCAATCCCCCTCACGCATACAACTTGTGCAGCGCAGCTCAAAATTTCATCTCCGTTATGTCCATGCTGATCAGTTTGCAAACCAAGGTTGACCACAGCAAGCGCGGCAAACCCAGTCCACAAGTTTACAAACCCTGCCTGAAGCCCGAGCGAAGAAGTGTATTCTGCTACATTTATAGAGTTACATACAACTATATACCACTACTGGACCACGTCAGCTGATGCTGGCGGAACTGCTCTCAAGCTCAAGGCAGGCTGCTGTGTGGATATGCATTCGTATCGCCGCTTCTACAGCATCGCCATCGCTCTTGAGGTCATCACGCGCAAAACGGTGCAGCATGCCGGCCAGAAATGTCCTCTGGGGGCATAGTGCACATAGCAACCCTCTGCTACCCCATGCGGATGCTGATTCCTTGCGCGCCGATGGCCACTGCACAATACATAGCAGGCGGCTCCTGTCTTCCATCGTTCCGAGACAGGCTTTCATTCTCTCGGCATCAAACTCCTCGTTTGTCTCGATGTCTATATCTGTCTGGATCCTTGCAAGCTATTCTCTCACCAAGTGCATCTATGTGCATTTGCACCAGATGTGACAAACGCTCGGTATGATCCTGCCTGCTGCTCAGATCTAGCAGCAGCTTGCGCACTCCTTTGTCTGAGTCCTTCCTCGCAGAGATCATCAGCGCAAAGCTTGCAAGCAGAGGACCAACTTCTCCAACCGCTTGCAGCTCTATGTGAGGAAGCATCAAGCTGACCGGCGGCGAGAATCGTCTGTGTTTTCAACATGCGCGTGTGCTAGAACCTGCAGCGGCTCAGGAACAATCCTCCGCCCATAAATGTCCAATGCTTCTAGCTCTGCGGAACTGGGGGAGAGAAAACAGAGCTCCTGCGGCGCTCGGAATCCGATTCATCATCCGAACCCGTGCCTTGGAAGGCATCATGCCAGGACTGCCAGAATCTTCTGCAGAACTCCCACACAGTTTGAGCAGCCGGAGAGTACCGGTTCAACACAAAAGAAGAAAACGTTGGCTTCTGCAGCTTCGACATGCTCTAACGCGGATTTGCAGCTGCGCCGCTCAGAGCTTGATATGTGCTCACCTCAATCTTTGCACATGGTTGGAAGACCGGCTCTTCCGAGCTCACAAAATCTCCATGCAGCCATGCGAACCTGTACGCGCTGAGCATCAGGTGAGGGGGGTGCTTCAGGTGAATCATCCTCATCATCGTCCTGGCAGATCAGGAAGATCAGACCATCATGCCAAAGCATGTGGAAAAGCAGAACTGCAACATGCCGTATCATGCCATGGGCCTCAGCCATCTTTGGGCTCAGTTGGATGAGAGTCAAGCGCCATCCACGATAATTAGTTTAGCTCTGTGCACGGGTGCTGGCTTTGCTCGGCCTCTGAGGTGCAAAAGTCTTAGTTTCGGTTCCCAGTCAGTTTTCTGGAGATCGTTGGAGTGGTCTGAGGCTTGCTCAGGATGCTTGGCATAGCACCAACCCCAGCTTTAGGGATCCTGCAAGCCTTACTGCAGCGCAGTTGAGATGGTAACGAGCGCCGTATGGAACCAATCAACTGCTGATGCGATGCCGAGATTGCAGAAACAGATTTTTCAGGAAACTCTGGTCCGTGAAGTGCTCCGTGCGGGCACGACAGCAAGGAAGGGCTTCTTTCGCCAACTTCTGCAACTTCAAATCAAGTTGCCCAGCGCTCTGTGAAGCTGCAGAACTCACTTCCACAAATTACGACTTCCAGGTTACTCTTAGTTGTCGGTCAACGCACCCGGCTCTGCAGCCATTCTTCTGTCTGAAGTCTAGAATCAATCACCGCAATGCCTACCTGACACATATCAGGAGGCACAAGCAGGCAACTTCACAAGCGGCAACAGCTTCAAAACACAACAAGGATCACACGACTGGCTATGATAAGTGCAGTTGGTGGAGCAGAAGCTCACGTGCAAACTGCGGTTGCCCTTTTCGAATATCTGCTACCCGTTGCTTTTATGATCGATACTTTGCTAGGAAAGGTGTCCCAATCAGCAGTCCAACTCGTGTGCTCCACCTGGCACCATGTCTTTGGCTGACTACAATATATGGCTTGTTGTGAAGCAGCTACAGACATGGCCGCCTTCCACCACAGCTTCAGCGAGACTGCTCGACTACGATGCCTCAGCAAGACCCGGCCGTTTGCCCAAAAATGCTCCAACATAAGCCAACAGGGTCAGCCCACCTTTTTTCAGTGCACTTGTGAGTGTAATCTGTTGGCGGTGCCTCCGCGATTTCGGAGGGAGTCCAAGAGCGCGCTGTCCTCTTGGGGCCAAACTCCAGGCTTGCTGCAGGCTTCTTGAACCCACTGCAGGACCTGCCTTATCCTTGCGTTCGTTAAGGGACCGCGGCCGGCAGTGCGAGTCCAGTGCCTGCCGCTTCCAATGTGAAAAGTCACAAAGCGATGGTGTCTTGTCTTGGAGCCGATGAGGCATCAGGCAGCTTTGTAGCTTCGAGTTGCTAGGAGCTCCTGACATTACAGCCCAGCTCGAGTTGCTAGGAGTTCCTGAAAGCCCAAGCTCGCAGCTGGTGAAATGGTGAAATGCGACTTGCCGCTTCTGCGCCTGACAGCTTTTCAATAAGCAAAACATTGGCCTTGGCGGCCGAGCCCAGCATCGATTGGCCCCAGTGAACCATCGAAGCGCCGAGGGCGGCCGTCTTCACAACCAGATCCTGTCAAGCTCAGGATGCTTTCTTCCAAGCCTCGGTTTTGGGCCTAGAAGCAATGTGCTTGCAGGATATGCTACGCTCAGCCACTCATTACGGACCTGCACAATGCGAGCAGGAGTAGGTTGACACTACGCAGAATAGCGCACGCATGCGCACGCTCAGTACCAGAACTTAGTCTGCTTGGGCTGACCGCATTTGAGTTTGGGGGTTGCGCATGCTGGATGTTTGCAATATGTTCCGAGCGGTTCCCGGCTGCGAGGAGTGAAGGACGCAAAATGGCTGTTTCTGTACAAACACAATCGCTCGTGGGTTACAGCGGGATAATGCTAGTGACTAGTTCACGTGATACTGAGCTGCTGCCAGCTGGCGAGTCGTGTGCCTAGTGTGTAGCATGGCCTGCGTACTCTCCCTTGCCGCGTTGGCTAGGCGCGTCACTGGGCTTCCCTGCGCACAAAGGATGGGATGGATTACACCAGAATCCTGACGATGCACTGCCGGCATTGATGACTATTTGAAATGGAGGAGTCAGGTGCGGGACTGTCGCTGAATTGCAGTGGAAGTGGCACTGTGCCTTTTACATGACATCATCATACCACATGTTCAAACAAGAATCACAGCAGCCTCTTGACAGTACACCGCAGGCTAGCAATCCTTGCTCCCTTAATATGAAATCCACCCGATTTTTCAAAAATTCAGGGGCCTGAACTCCAGAAGAGCACTGTTGAGAGGGCAAGACCACTTTCAAGGGGCCAGCTGATAATGAATTAGGCAGTTCTGAAGTTATCAACCAATTATTCCATTAATTGACTCTTTCTTTATCTCATTTGACTGAATACTCACGTATGAGTTAATGTCCTTAAATATGATTGACTAAGTTATTAAATTAATTCATTGATCATTGATGTTCCATGGCGTTAGGATTTTAAAGGCAGCCCTATCTAATTCTTTCAACCAATGTTCCCCCCCTATTCAATAGTTTTTCAGACCCCAGATTATCTAGTACTAGGGGAGGGGTCGTTTCATAGTAGGGGGAAGTGAGAGGTGATTAAGTTATGGAGCTGATGGACTGCACCGAGCAGCACAATCCGCCTGTTCGGATAGCAACGGGCTTTCGACTTCCCAAAGCTGAACAGCCACCTGGAAGGAGGGTGGCATGTTAGGGGTCCAACTGTTTTGCCCCAACTTTGTCAGGGGCTCTCATCTTCAGGGAAGAAAAAGCTTGCGGGCAAACGAACGGATCGCTGGCCTGGATGGCGAGTTTGAGGGGATACCTTCTCCTGGCGGATTAGCAACGCAAAATGTGTATGCTTGGTAGGTCTCGTCAGTTAAGAGCAGTCGAAGCTTTGTCGGGATATAATTCCCGAAGCAAAGAGAAAGGCTGCAGAACGCCGCTGCGGCCCAATCACTTGGAAGACTCTGCTTTGGATGTCGGGCAAATCTCATGTTGTCCAGATATATCCAGACACAGTGCGAGTCTACGGGCAGGTATGGGCAGGTATATTAGCCGGTAAACCTACTAGTCGCCTCCTACCATGAAAATACCTGATCTCCTTGTCATTAGTACTCTACTGCCTTGCGCAAGGCCACCAGCAACCAAGGTACTGCCTATTCCCTTGGCATCCAGGCCTCAGCGGCGGGTACGGGCCAGCTGTGGAAGCCAGGCAGCTCCGCAGGTTCAGCCGATCTCCCTGCCGCAGGGCACAAGACCATGCGGAGTACACTTCGGGGACTTGTCATCTGCTGTACAAGTAAGCATGAGTATCCCTGCGGACCATTTGTGCCACTGTTTGTTGCGGATTAACTCCGCCCGCAGGGTCGCCCTAAAAGTCCACCCGGAAAGTTGGCCGTAAAGCCGTCTCAGTCGTCAGTGAAGCATTGCTGGGCATCTTCCTGAACACCTAGCTCGTGGCTCTGCCTATAATACCTGAGCACTTCGAAGTAGATTTCGATCCCGTCTTCGGAACTTAGAGTTAAGGGCACGGCTAAGGTCACTGTCTACAGCAAGCCCCACGAAAGAACAGCCTTATATGTAGGGGTTCCTCCAAAGC